TTCAAGAATATATAGTACTCAATCATTTTAAATGATGCTCGATAGACTGCAGTTACGGTTAGCACGTAGGTGCCACGTAAATCACGTGAAAGTAGGACGATGTTTGAATAACACATTTAGCAATAAAACAGCAATTTTATAAGCATTCTTGCAGACTAAGTAACTTTGCATGCATATTATTTTAACAAATGTATGTATGAAAGTGCATTATACAATTAATATTGGCAGCGTAAGCGCTATGTAATATATACATTATGGGCACTAAGTATTGTACCTTCTTTGCATTTCCCAGCTTTGTTTCTAGTACTTTACGCAAAGCAGAGAAAAGCTCTCTAAAGCTTACTTTAAGTTTCTGTTCATGATGCTTTCTTATAATATGTAAATATGTGATTTTTTTATTGAGGGATTTTTAATTAATAAGGATTTATTACATACTTTCTATGTATTCTCATGCTGTAGCAGGTCCAGCTAGCTGTGTCCGTGGCTCTAATCTTGGTGACGACACAGCTGATTTTATCGCATTTTGTGCTAAAAAAAAGGAAAAATTAACACTAGAGTTCTTTGCATTGGAGTTCAAACTGAAAGTAGGAGATGATAATTCGCTACCATCTGCATTTGATCGAGTGAGTTTTAGGGTCTCCCCAATCACCATTTTTTTTTAAGTTGGAGAGAATAAGAGGAATTATGGTTTTCCTCCATGTCTGCTCCTTGAGTGCAAATCGTAGCACGTCCAGCAAGCACTGGAAAATCCGTGCTTTGAATTTCGTAGACAGCATAGCCAGTTATTCGTGCTCCCTGGCTTGAAAACCATAATGTTAGGTGTTAATTTACCACTCAATATATCGTAAATTGATTACAATTCCCTTTAATTTTGTTCCTTTCACCGTATCATAACGAGGAAGAGTATATTCGCAGCTGCTGTGTTAAAATTAAGGAGTTTCCATAACAACTTTTGATTTTGAAAATGATTTTGAGTCCTAATACCGAAATAAAGTATTTTTCACTTTTCGGCGCAAAACTAAGAAATTTTGGACAAATATCTTCGCGTCCTACTTTCCTTTGATAAATGTCTTTAAGGTTAAGGCGTTTCGAAGCTAATTTATCATTTCAGCTATAGTAATTGTTTGATGGCAGCATATGCTCACTGCGCATTTGGAACAACAAAATATCAAACAGACTGATGACAATAGCTATTTGAAAAATCTGAAATATGTTTAAAAAGCAGTGTTTGAAAGGAGAAGAGCAATGTATCAAATTATTAAATAAAAGTACAAGATTCTTTATTCTCGTAACTCATTTCTTTTTTTAAAATGTTTCAAAACGCATTTTTAATTTACTTTAATTAGTTCGCAATTTTTTTATCTTTGTATGATTTTCCTAAAATATCATTTCCGTTCACAGTTCTATTTATTAATTGTTCTCAAAGGGGATTTCATACCCTCTTCTGTATCGAAATGGCATTTTCTAGCAAATTAAAAGAATGTCGCCATATTGGTAAGCAAGTACCAAATGTTGTAAGTCAGCAGTTTCTTTTGCCCGTAAGTGATGCTTTAATTGAAATTATTCCAAATTCGAACATCAATGCATTCAAAATTACAAGATCTATGAACTAAACTTACGAAATAAAAATGTCGCATTTTTAGTATCTAAAAGGAACTATTTCAATCATCTATCTAACATTAATTAGTCGAAGAAGACGTTTCAACAATTAAATTAATAATGGGTAGTCTTGGGTTCTGCTACGGTCTTCAGAGTACAATTCGGTATCGAGAAATTAATCCAATCGGCAGCTTCGCTATGAGGAAAAAAATCTTCTGAAAGAAAGAGATGAAGATAAGAATTATCGAAAACATTTTGCATTCAAAGACAGTAAGAAAGGTAGAAGAACATTTCAGTATTTGACTTCAAGTTATGTATTTGAAGCTTGTAAATATTTAATTCAATTTTAGGTTAAAAGAAAATCAAAAATCTTTAAATCGTCAAAATTCCACTAAATGATTAAAGTTCATTAAATAAAAAAACTGGTAGAAGAGGAAAATTTGTAGTATCTTAAAGCTGCGATAAAATCAAATGTTTTGCTACCTATTGAAAACTACACAAACATATTTAAACTCAAGACTTTTATCCGCACAAATAAACGGATTGCTACGTTTTGAGAGTTTCGTTTTAAAGCAGCTAATATAAATGTGAATATGATGTATCAGGTACAGTGCAAACTTGATTCTTTTCGAGGAGATAGATGTTTCATCTTCCCTCTGTGATCCCAAGTTGTGATTGATGAAGGCCAACAGAAATCTATAACCTGCTCCTAAAGATCTTAATTATCATTGGATTTTTATAATTGAACACAACACCACTCTAATATAAAATCTATTTTCATGTATTTTAAAAATCATAAAAACAAAAGAGGTACCCGGTAATCCAAATTATTTTTCCATTATTCTTTTTAAGCTTTTATTTTACATTTATATACAGCCATCATATTTGCACCAGGAACGTATCTGAGAAACCATTATTTAAGTAGCTATGCAACTGAATGCATTTCACACAACTCAAGTTCAGAATTTTTCAGAAATACATTATGAGCACTTTTAAAGAATTGTATTTTTATGAAATATTTTTGAGTCCAGAATGCAGCTACCAGTATGTCGTGTCATCGGCCCTTCGGCAACGAATAAGACTCTAGAATGAAGATTTTCAAAGGTACGATAGTTGAATTTTAAACTGCCTTCGGCAGTTCACTAAGTAGTTCGATGCAATTCACAGAATGAAGTGGTAAATCTGGTATTCAGATTTAAGGCTAGTTAATTATGTAGGAAACACTCCAGGAAATCGAATAGAGGGGTTGATATCATCTCATGCCGCTCTAGTCTATATACATTAATTTAATGCCTACTCTTTTGAAACAAATGGCTTCATTAACACAGAATTTCAATATTCTCATATGTTAACTCGTTAGAAGAGCTTTCAAATGATTAAAGTTTATCATCTCCATCAATTATATTTGGCTTTCAGTAAACGTCTAATTTCAGTTACTGGAAATCATAGTTTTGATATGGGAGCAAGTTATAAGATGCTACTAAAGTCTTTCCGTGCGGTAAAAATCATTTCTTAAATAAATTTCATTAAAGCGGTTTTAGAAAATATTATTTGTGCATATTATATTATATCCATCTGTGTAAGAATATAAGCATGAAAGGGTGAAAATAGATATGTGATGAATTTATGAATCAGAAACCCTTCAATAGGGGCTGATAGAAGTTTCTCTAGACTGGACACATCTACTAAAATTTGAGCAACAAAAAACTATAATCTGAATAAAATAGATGTCATTATATGTTATTTCTGTGTAGAAAGCATAATGACAAATCTTATTTAAAATATATATTGAAATAATTGTGGAAAAGTTTGCATTTTATTTGACGTAAAACCTTCTTTTCAACAGCTTCGCAGTTCTGGAGACTAGCTATTAAAAGTGCTATCCAAAAAAACGTTTGTCTTTGCAACTGTGTTAACTGAAGAAATATACGGGTTTAAACAATGCCAAGACATATTGCTCTGTAACGAAGTCAAGTTTACTACTACGTTTTCGAATTTAAATCAGATTTTATGCTACACAGAAATCTTATCATATAAACAGAAAGAATTTTGCTTCTATTTTAAACGGCTTACGAGTATAAGCATCAACATTTTATGTATAAAATACTGAAATCGAAACAGAGAAAAAAATTGATGTATAATATATGTAGCGATCTATGAAGTATAAAACCTCTTTTGTTTTTATGATTTTTAAAATACATGAAAATAATAGATTTTATATTTATGAGTGAGTGTTGATGTTCATATTAATAAAAATAACAATGATAATTCAAGATCATTTAGGAGCAAGGTTATAGATTTCTGTTGGCTGTGTCATCAATCACGAACGTTTGGGAATCACAGAGGGAAAGAATTGAAAACATCATCTAATCGTCCTCGAAAAGAATCAAGTTTGCACTGTACCTGATACATCATATTCACATTTATATCACTGGAACTACCAAAATTGAAAGAATACCTAATTTCGGGGTATCTAAAGCCTTCGTGATGTTGTTGGTAAATTTAGTATTCATTGACAAATGCTATAGATTAATAAATTTAAAGGATGATGCTTTTCATTATTTTATTAGCCCTAATTTTTTAAGGAATGTAAAGATCTTTCCGATGTAGTTTTAAATCAACTGCAAATTCTAATTCGGTAAGGCAGAATTTCGGAGCCTTCAAAGCAAAAATTTGATTTATATATTAGGACATTATGAGAAATAATTTCAGATACATTAGTATGCTTCTTTTATGTACCGTTTTTCATTTGCTTTTCTACTCTTCAGTAATTCATATTTGATACGTGTTCAATCACATCGATTAGGGCTTTATATGACTCTAATCGATGTGTTTGAACACGATGTGGCCCTAATACTACGATTAGGGCTTATATTACATGCGGAAGTTGGGTTATCTAGACAAAACACTCCAAAGAAAGAGAACTAGAAGCATTCACTTGCCGCAATGCTCCTGGATTTTCAAGCCACAGCCGGCGGACTTTCTTTAATTTGAATTATTGTTTTATAATACCCAACGCTATACCGCTGTCTTTGAGCCGCTACTCCAGGGGCATTAAAACCTGTCTCTGGCCAACTAGCTTTCTACTCAGATGGAATAAGTCACTACCTTCCGAAATAGCATAGGCTACCCTTTTGTGCAGGAGACGAGCCCCTGTATTTTATTCCCCTAGACTGTCTTGACTATCAGAGAATAATACTAAGCCAATATTTGTAACGGTATAATGCGACAGTGTTACAAGTAAAGGTAAAATAACGGTGAATAACTGGATTGCAAGTTATTAGTTAAAAATGCACTGCGTGCAAACTTAAAATGATATGCCCAACTACGAAATCATGAAATTCGTTACAAATGTATATACAGATTAATGCATTATTATTCGCTTCTTTTTCATTATATAGGAAATGATGTACGTGTTCAATTTGTTTCCCATGTTCAAGACCCACCAAGAAGTGATGAAACGAATTCTAGCTGCAGTTGAAAATGACATGCCCACATTAGTTGAAGGAAGAGGTAAGCAATCTAAAATTTCAGCTGCAGAGTTTAACTCAAATTAATTAAAGCCGAGTTTTCTTTTCTCTGTCATCAAATGTGGAGGTAGGATGGTTATACGTTTACAAATTAGTGATTGCGCACATCATATTCACTAGCCTCTTAAATTAGCTACTAAGCTATTGCATAGATCTCTTTATCTGCGATTTATGGTAACAGTCTAGGAACATAGTAATGAATTTAAGATTTCTGCACATCATCTAAACTTCGATTCAAGTTTATACATATTCTTTTTTTTTTCTTTCCTATCTCAATTCTTATTAAGGACATAGGACTAGGTAATAATCGTTATATAGCTGTTTATCGTACAACGTTTCCAAGAAAAACCAAAAAACAATGTAACATTTTACATCATATAAACTTTAACTGAAACCTATGTTTACGCAAAGTTATTTCAGTATTTGGCGTTCTGAATATCGTAACAGTATGAACTGAGCTCTTAAAATTCTACGTCTCATTCTTTCAGGAAATTTATCAATCTACTACTATGGTAGTTAAGAAATCATTACGGAAATTATCTTCAAACATCACCTTATTAAATCTCCCACACTGTTGCAATAAAACTTGTACACTTATAAGGTATTTCTCCCGTCTTCTTGGCATGCCTTCGTGGTACGGTAGTCTGCACGCTGAAAGCGAATTCCAGAAGTTCGATGTTCGATTCTCGGCGAAGGCGTTGCTCATTTTTCATTTTACCTGCTTCCAGAATACCTAATGTCTCTACAGACTTTAATCAGTAAGCAAATGGAAAGGTTTTAGTATGAAAATAATTTCTAGTGTTGACTTTTATTAGTACAACGCAAGTCTAGTATACTAGTTTATTTTAAGCGATCCAAGTCGTAAATGAAATTTTTATGCTCTTCAGTTTTTAAAGTTAAAAATCGCAAACGTTATTTTTACATTTCTAGTATATTGAAATAATTTATGCTTACGACTTTCACAGTTTATTCTGTTTAAGAGAAGCTTTTTATTCAGTAAGGCAAATTTTAATTGATAAAAACCAGTTATGAATGAAAGCGCTTGAAAGTCATGTCCCCGATAACAGCCCACTAACTTTGCATACAAACAATCGCAATATAGAAAACCAATGCAACTGGTCCAGGACTGAGATTTCACAGTCCACTAATGTTGCTCACAAGCAATGGCAATATATAATTATGTGACTGCTTTTTTTAACTATAAAGTATTTGCTTTTGAATAATGAATAAAAAAGAGGAAAGAAATATGGATAAGACAGATTTGATTTGAATAAATTCGGACCTGCTTCACTGTTTTGGTTAAACGGGATTTTATTTTATGCGAATAATTGTGAACCTATTAATAAAAAATCTGATGTGTACACCAAATGACTTCCTTGTACGGAATATTACATTATACGCATTTTTTCTTGCATTTTATTTAAACTTATTAGATTGAATTAAACCTACTTCGCCGACAGCGCATAAACCATAATAGAATAAATGCATCTTTAAAATGCACTTTTGTTTACCATAGCGACACTCTGGCGCTAGGTTTACTTAACAGTTTTATATTTCGTTCATATTATAACTCTGAATGCACAAAATTTATATCATTTAAAGAATTATCTATTCGTTGCCACATGTTCTATTCAAATACTATAATAAAGCTAGAACTATGTATAAAAGAAATTAAGCAAAAAAAAACAAAGAAGAAACAGTTTTTCACAGACGATTGAGTATTTCTCATTCAATTAATTCAGTTCTCACATCGCGACAAGGCAAAAATACATAAAAACTCAACATATCTGTATTAAAAATTACGAAGTAAATTTTAAACGCTTATTTCCTCAAAAAAATTCAAGAAAGGATTAAGCATGATTTAATTGACAATAATAAATGAAGGCGTTATCTTTGTTGTTGCGAAGCTAAGTTTCTCTAGACTGGCAACAAATCCACTAATCTCCTGTTTCAAACGTAAACATCAATGGCCGCCATTAAAATAGGCTTAGCGGCACTTAAACAATTTTAAAATTGTTGATAATTCTAAAAATATTGCATACAAATTTACTAAAGGCATAATACCCTTAACCAGAAGATAAAAACAACATAATTCAATCATTTTTAAAGCAAAAAATGTACAATTTACAAACATATAGAGTAAAGAAACTGAGATCACTGAGCCGGGTAACAGAGTGGATATATTTATAAATATATTATATACGTTTGGCGCGCCGATTGAAACCAAAATACGAGTGCACATCTACATGTTATAGTAGTCTTATAAACAAAATTTCAACGTTCTGAGGCTACTCGTTTTTGAGTTATGCGAGATACGTACGTACGCACGCACGTTCGTACATACGTTCGTACAGACGCCACGAAAAATTCTCATTTTAAAGCAGTTTTTTAGTTTTTTTGGAGGAAAAGAGTCTTTTATTCTGTCCTTACGTATAGATATTACGCAAAAACATCGTTAAATTGCATTCGATAGCGGTCAAAGTGGATATTTTCGTTGAAATTTGCTGCCTGAAGCTTTTCGCGATTACAATACTTCCTTTTTACTTCGTACAAGGAAGTAAAAATGACGTAATGGACGTTTCTCCTATGTTTATTCATAAAGCTTCTAAAATTTATTCATTTATTGTCATGCTGGTGTAAAAGCTGACAAAGCCCCGGTCGCTATTTATTTTCTTTCCCTTTTTCTCTTCTTTCTTTTTTTTTTAATTTTCGACCGGACAGCTGATGAACTGAGTGTGCATATCAATCTGAATGCTTCTTTCAATGGGTGTATAATTTATGTCTCTTACAGTGCATTACGGAAATGCTGTAATACAGTATATCAAAGATTCAATACAATACATTAAATTGTAAAATATATTTTCCTTCCTTGTGGCCAGCCTTTAAGGTGTAACTGGAAAGCACGTCCGGCTAGCAATCGGAAGTTCTGGAGTTCGAGTCCTTATGAGGACAATGCTAATTTTTCCTCTTTCCTATTCTGAGTTAAACCTAACTGTCTTTATATATTATGTTTTGTAATAGATTAACTATATAAAACAACACATTAACTATGCATTACGCTACATCAACTACTCATACATCAATAGTACTATTATTTTACAATGCAATACATTAATCTTGATTGAAACATTGAATGTGCAACCTGTAAATGTTATGCCGCTATCAAGGTTCTAATTCTATTGGTCCATGTAGGCCAGTAATCAGGAGCTTGTTTCCGCAGATGCGTTGCTCAGTGTTGGGACATTCAAAGATAAAATTATCTTCATTGTTTTGTCAATCGCTACAGCTAGCAACCTAATCTATAACTTAAAATCGTGCTAATAGTAAATTAGTTAGAGTTATGTATATTCAGTATTAAGTTTTGTTATTGGAAATAAAAAATAAATCAGATAATTTTCGGCCATACTTCTGCGTGTTAAACGATTCGTGCATATCTCCTGAATAAGCACGCTGATGAAAAGGAAAATGCCCTTTAAAGAGCTAATCTGAGTTAAAATAACACCCCGAATAACAGTTATTAGAGATGATAGGGAACAACAGTCAGAGTAATATTCATAAATATGCATGTCTAGTTTCGAAGGTTGGAAGTGCAAATAAGGAAAGAGAAGCCTCTTCTCAGGTGATAACGAAGAAAGAAAGGAATTCAAACTAGCGACGCCATCTGTTGAAGAAAAACGAAAACAACTGTGAAATAATTTCCTTAAAAGCTGAGGGTAAAAATGGATGGAAACCGGGAACGTTAACTACAACTGAAAGAATTTTATAAATGTGAAAACGCTTCTAGAAAATCTTATCCGACAACGGAAGATGTTTTTTAAGTAATTCTGGCTACAGAAAAATGAAAAATGAGGTTTTTTGACCAACAGTCTTGGGTAACAAGGGATTTATGTGTTTGGTTTTTTCTAACATATGCCTCATGTCTTAACTCAAAATGTGAAGGCTCTTGGCCGCTTTGTCAAAGAACCCTGTATATATTCCAAGCATTCATACAGAATGAGGTCTTAAAGTATGAAAATGCGAATTTTATTGATGGAAGAGAAAGCGAACCGAAAGTTGAATTTTTGTAAAATGCGGGCAGTTTTAGAGCTAATCGAAGTAAAGTAAGGAATTACAACATAATTCTTATAATCCCCTATTCATATAATCCTATGTGTTGGGAATTGTGCCAAATTATATGCGTTACTCAAAATTTGTAATAGCTGTAGTCCATTCTGCCTTACTGTATGTAATTTAGGCTTTGCCTCGTACCCGTTAGCTAATATTTAGTTTCTAGATCCTCTTGTTTGCGAGAATAAAAACTGTTTCATTCTAAAATTTCGTAACATCAGTTTGGCGCTCCCTGGATAGTGCTCCCCGGGGACAGATATCCCCCCTTGCCCATCCCTAGCTATGCCACTGGATATTGACAAAGGCTTTTCACCTAATATTATTCACAAAGCAGTTAAAAAATTCTTATCTCAACACATAAAAAGAACTCTCTTGATTTAGGAAATTAGTATAAGAATTCCGTTCTCAGTCATTTCATTTCATCGATTAGTTATAAAATTGCACGCATTTTACAGAAATTCAACTTTCGGGTCGTTTTTTCGTCCAACAATGAAATTCGCAGTTTCGTACTTAGAGATCCCGTACCGCACGTGAACATATATGGTACATACAGGTTTCCTTACCAATGGGAATTTCCTTAGCAATTAATAACTTACATTTGTCAAACTATGCGCGACTTAAAATTTCGCGCTATGGAACATGAAGCACATGTTATTTAAAAAAAGAAACACAAAAACTGTCTGCTGTCCACACTGTTGGTCAGAAAATCCTATTTTCCATTTTTTTTTTTTTTTTTTCTGCAGCCAATTTTACTCAAAAAACGTCTTTTGTTGGCGAATTACATTTTCTAGAGGCGTGTAATATTCATAAAAGCCTTTCAGTTCTAGTTGACGATCTCATTTAATACCCGTCTTTACTCTCAGCTTTTAAGAAATTATTTAGTTGTTGTTTTCCTTTTTCATCAATAGATGACAGCATTAGCTTGAAGAACTTCCTCTCACTGTTATTGTCCGATCATTTACTCTTCTGCAGCCGAAGAAGCAGTTTCTGTATTTAAATCTTCGAAACTAGTTCTGAAATTTATGAATATTGCTCTGATTATTGTTCCCTTAGCACCTCCAGTAAGCTAATAATCAACACAAATGAAGACAGTGAGGCAGTGTAATTCCAGAAGGACTAAAAACGATACGATTCTAATGCTCCTTTAGAACAAGAAGAAGTATCATAAATTTTGTTCAATTACTGCTATAAATACTACCACTACGTTGGAGTCCAAATGGAGCAGTGCAGTTGGAAAAATTTCCTACTAAGTAGATATTTAACATAGCGTACTTTAAGCTTAAATTAATCTTTAGAACTGAACTGCATTCTTAGTTTCTATTCAGTTTGTAAAGAGACTGGGGAAAGAAAAAAGAAAATCTCAGGACGCTTTTAGGCTGTAAGGATTATCTTAATTTACCTAACAGTTAAATTTTGAGTTAAAGTTACTTTCATATTTCTTCTTAATTTCAAACTTACAACTTCCGGCCAGAACTTATTTTTAGAATCGCGTTTGCATGCAAATGAGGAGAAGTAGTTAACTGTGAAATTCTACTGACTTCGTTAAAAAGCCAGTGATTGTGACTAGCACGCGTTCGCCTCTTCAGCTTACTCTCTCTGTTAAGCCATCGAGGGCCGTAGTTTAGGCCTTTGATAGCTTCCGCCTTTAATTACGTGAAGGGGCCACTCTTGGTAGAATCTGATTGATTTTTGCTTGGTATCTTTTTAAAATCAAAGATTAGTTTGGTTTTTGTTCTTCGTTTCTGATTCAAGCCGAGTGGAGGCTTTATTGTAAAACTCCAAGAATGAGTTCTGTTAACTTTATTGGATAATAAGGGTATTTCACCCTTCCAAAGTTCTGTCTCCCGAACTCAGCGTTGTTTACTTCTCAGTTCTTTTAAGAATCCCCACGTAACACTTAAACCACAGAACTAACTTAACTAAAAAACACAGACGTAACTGTAACTTAAAAGAACACTAAACAAACAAAACCCCGAGACTTATTTGGGCTTGTGTGGAATGCTGAAAGAAAGAGTGCTCCCTTCTATTGACAATAGCCTTGTCTTGTTACTTACTTTATAGATCCTTGTAGATCAAACGATCCTTTCAAAATAGATCTTTCTCTTGTTATTTACAAAATTCTAAGAGTTACCTAAGTAGAATTTCATGCATTGCGGTATTAAACTGATTAAAGATATAAAAATGTAAGTAAGTACAACACCATAAATAACTCAAATGAAAAAAAAAAAAAAAGCAGACAAAATTATAATAAAACAAAGTATAAAACTAATAATACAACTTTAAAAATGAAGGAAAACAAATAGATGAAAGTATAAAATAAATGAAAAATAATATTAAAGTAACATTTGTATAAATTTGTGAATGCTGAAAGATGATTGCTACCTTTTCTGGAGCACAATAGCATCCTTGTTCTTGTATACTTTATCGCTCCTTGTAGAAACAAAATAAATTACGCTTGTGCGTTTTAAAAAGTTTCACCTTACCCGAAACGAGGGGCTTGCTTCTCTTGAAAATTTAAATGGGCGATTTCTTTCTCTTTGAAAATTTAATGCGTATTTCTTGAATTATTGTTATATTATTATCCCATAAATAGGAAGGAAATATTCATAATATGTGTTAATAATGACGATTTAATTTTGATACAGCATGATTAAAAACTTGCCCATAGATGTTTACATATTTTTGCTATTTATATGGATTAACGATAAATATTTAATGCATGTTTAATTTTTATTTTTATTTCAGAACCAAGTACAGAAGAAGCAGAAGATTATTGTTTAGCCGTAATATTGAGGGCCATGTGCTATAAAACATTAGGCGATGCTGGAAAATCTCAGAAATATCTGCAGGAAATACTGAAATAGTAAAAATATTTCAACTATTTCATTTCTAGAATACAAAATTTATTTTATTTTTGTCTATTGAAATCATGATTCCCAATTAGCTATTGGATATGTTTACTCGATTTTTAGAGTTAAAAAATTTAAACAACAAACAAATGTAATTGAAAATATTCCTATGTCTAAAACTGATTTTGTTATAATGGTTTGATAAATTGGATGCACTCGTAATGCTATTCGTGTGAAAATAAAAACGAACTATTCTGAGAAGAAAAAAAGTTCCTGTTAATGTTACTCTTAATGATCTCACTTATTTGCACTTAATTTCAAGAAAACTAATTAATTTTCTCTAAAATTAGCAATGTGTTTTTCACATGAAGTAGCGCAATGTCTCATTTGTTTAGTTTCTTGCTTGCTAAAGAATTCAGTTATTCAGTAATTTACTCCAATAATTCAGTACTGTGTAATTTTTTTTTATCCTGTTATCGTCATGAGACAACACGTGATGGTACTTTATTCATTAATTTAATAAAGCGGATAAGTCTTCGAAAAATATTAAATTCGCTTTCTTGAAAGTAATTTTCTAATGGAATTTCTAATTGGATGCCTTAATCAAGTATAAATCTTCATAAATGAGGATTGGAAATTTTCTAGAAAACATTAATACTTAACGAAAATCAGTAACATTTCTAAAATGATGGTAATGAATATCCATATAATTTTTTCACCTTGATTAACGCATATTATTTTTTTTTTTTTTCGAAAATAAGTTGTATGCATTATTTTGCCTCGAAAAATGATTTATCAGTATTATTTTAGAAACTTAGACAATATCGAAATTACATTAATTTTCGTAATATATATCTACGTATACTGAGCGTAATATATATATATATATAGAAATACTGAGAAATGTGTAGTTTAGTGCTCAGGTTTTTATACAGCAAAATATAATAGTATGTTAGAGGGTTACAAAAAGAAAAATTTCATGATTAATTAATTTTTATAATTAGTTATATTAATCGCCGCCCAACAGGGATGGTGGTTAGCGATGTTGACTGCCATATAGAGGGGCGGGAGTTCAAATCCCCCGGAGAAGGAATGGATATTTGTAAACATATAGTATCTGTGCGGCATGGAGGCCCTGTAATTATGCGGCGAACCGGAAGTCTTATTGAGAAATGTTGGTAGGAGAAGAGGTGTAGGGGACTTCCGAACTGCCCTCATCGGGATGCTGTCCATGAAAATTGAGGGCGGAATTGAGCAAAGTTATGACTTTGCTGCCACTTGTATAGTGCTCAAAGCTTTTGCCAACGACAGGCGCTATCCTGCACTCCATGACACGATGAATTTCGTGGAGTTGCTGTGATATTACTTTCAGACAAATGAGATAAGTCATAATAACAACAACAATTAGAATAGTTATATTAATCATTTACTCTGTTTTAAATGAGATAAATTATATTGAAGTAAGTATATTCAAAAATGAATATGAACATCTACATAAAACCATATTTTTAATTTACTAACTACGTTTAAATTTTATATTTCATATATCTTAACCTTAGTATTTAAAATTGCCACTAAATTTGTACGACAAAATTTCGTCAAAACAAAACTTTTTTCTTGTCTGTGTTTGAAAGAATGTTCCATTACGTCTAATACTGTATGTAGTACATATATTCCCAATTTTATGTTAAACGAATCGGCTTAATGTAATTCATGACAGCTAAAGAAGTTTTTGAATCATTAAAAAAATATAAGAATGACTACTGCTTGATCGAGCTGATATTTCTTTTCTTTTCTTTTTTTTTTTTTTTTTTTTTTTTCAACCCACAGTGAAAATCATTTGTCTGATGATGTCTATCTTGCCACTTACGCGATGGCCGAAATGGGTTATATGGCGATGGAGAGAGGAGACTACGAAGAAGCTTTGCAGTGGTTAGACAAATCATGGTAGGTTCTTTGAAGTTAAATTTGTGTTTCTTTGGTTAGCTATTTCAATGATATTTTTTCTTAGCCTCATCTTCTTGTCAGAATAAAAAGGAGAATTTAGCTGCTTACGAAACTCCGGTTTCATTCTAAAAGTTCAAAAGCAAATTTATACATTTTATTAGGCGATGATGGTAGTGAAATTATTTAACATATTTTCGTTAGGTTATTTAAGTGCTCATGGAACATCCTAAATAAATGACTTATAAGTAATTTGTATCGTAGCTCGATCTCTGATGACTCACAAGATTAATACTTTTCATTAGATTCTCGCTTATCGGACGTAAGCAGATAGTCGGATGAGCGGAAATTTCCGATAATAGGGAAGTATTAAGAAAACACATATTAAAAGTTACACCGTGTTTTAATTTTACACATTACGAGCCTAATAATCATACTTTAAAACAAAACTGGAAAATTAACTGAAAAAAGGAACTTGCAGTCACAGAGTTGTCTGAAGCTAAACGCATTGCAGTCCTGTGATGACTGAAAGAAATTTTCTATCAGAGTCTGCTTCCTTGACGAGCGTCGTTTCTTCGTTGCCAATCTCGCCATCTTTGTAGCAACATTATGTCGATTCTTGTAGCTTCTTCGTGTTGCTCAATATATTTAAACGCATTTTCTAACGTCTTAACACCGTCGTTATGTAAAATTTTGCGAGTCTCAATATTTGGTGCTTGATCTTGGCCTTCAATTTCGTTTTTATCGCATTTGATAAAAACGACAACTTTTTTATCAGTTATTTTATACTGATCATCATCCTTCATCTAGCCTTCGATTTCTTACAACGATGCATTTTCACAACCAGCGATACGTTGTACTAAAGATATAATGGTTTCTTCGGTTTCATCTGTGGCTTCCATTTTCATATTTTCATCATCATCTATCATCTTCTGCCATAAATTGGCAAATGATGTAGTGCTTATTTCAGCCCAGTTCCTTACAACTCAATCAGAAATACCCTTTGCATTGATGTCTTTCAATTTTTGAATCATGTTCTCTTCAGTTTTTTTTATCATTGTAGATTAGTTCTTTTTTGTCTTTCCCAACGCTCTGAAGCCATACTTTCATCATCACCGTTTTCAAATCGTTGTCATCATCGTCGTTATCAACGTAGGTTGGCATACGGCGGTTACATTCTGAGGGCAGGAATATTGACTTAATGTCACCCTTTCAAAGCTTTTCTGTATCAGAGTGCGTAGGAGCATTATCTAACAATAAAACACCTTTTCTGTGTAAAAAATATTTTTCCAAAAACTTCTCTGTCAAAGGAATGAATTTCACTTCTCATCCATGAGTTTTTCTGATTACAGTATTTTACACGAAGAGCATTTTTTGAAACAGTGCTATATGCTTTAGGATTTTGTGCTGATTTTTCAGTCATTACAAAGTCCATTTATCTATTTGCTGTAGCATTACCACATTCTAAAGCTATCAGCCTCTCCTTACTACGCTTATAGCTAGGGGCTGTCGTTTCTTTTGGCTGCAAGACACTTACTTGATAATATTTTGTGATTAAGGTCTGGTAGTTAAATATGTGATCATACGTTAAGCTTTCAATTTCAATTAATTCCTGAAACCGTTTTTTATGCTTCCACTTCTTCAAAATTCGATTATAGTGTTTCACCACAAACACTTAATTGACGGATACCGTAGAGTTTCCTTCATCGGTCGAGCCAACTGACACTTGCTGTGAAATCTGGGTCACATTCATTAAAATCATTACGAAAATGTAATACGTTTTACTATAAAACAGGGCCTGAAATAAGCACAACTTTGTTTCTGAACTATGTAAACCTAACACACAAAGTTTCACTCACTTTTCATAACCATAATTTTTTTAACCTTTTCTTACTTTTAATTGCACACTCAGTAACTTCTGATGCACACATGTTTCCTATTTTTATTCGTTTTCTTTTCCAGTTTACTATTTTTTAGCGTCCAATACCGAAGATGTAAACTACATTCTGAATGTTTCTCCCATATCCTTAAAATGAAACTACATTCTACTTTATCTAATTTCTTGATTGTCTCAAAGTTTTGTTCCATTGGTAAAACAGAATTTCTTTACTTTTCATCGCTATTCTTTTTGATGTACTTGTATAAATTTGAGCTTTTAAACACCATAACAATGTTTGACAAATTAAACACACCACCACAAATATATATGTATTAACAGTAACAGACGATACACCGATGCACGTATAAGGATAAACTGCACTGCGCTAAATGACAGACACATGACACTGTAGACGGGCGCGCCCCTCCGTGAAACATAATACACAAATTCTCTATAAATCAGAACCACAGTCGCTGCTTTTAAAATAGCATAACTATCCTAAAATTCATAAATTAATTCAAACAGCACAAATTTATTGAAGAACCCAATTTTTAAAATATGCATGTTTCCTTCACTTTCCACATGGTAAGCCGCATTTGCTAAAATTTACGTAAGTCCAAGACCTCTTGCGCTGACTCCAACATGCACCCCCTCCCCGGCTGCATAACTTCTAAATTACATCAGTGCCGCAACGAAGGAAAGGGCTTCGAGTGTGGACTAGGGAACTTCTACTGTTCTTGTGATGCTGAATCTTTGATAACTATTGTTTACATTTCGTTTCTCATTTGTATCCCAATATCCAGCATTTTTTTCATTCTCTTCAAATTCTTTCAATCAAGAAGTGAAATCTTTACAATTACTTATATTTGATATAATTTCGAGTTGAACATTTTCACAGAAAATGCATTTTTCATTATTTTGGATTTAAAATTGCCGGGCAAAATAAGTTCAGTCATCTTGCTTTTAGAGAGGCAAAGGTCACTTGATCTAATAGAAAAAGCTATTGGAAGTAAGGTGGTCCTTTCTGGAAATCCTCCTCTTCCTCTATTGCTATACCAATGTGCACTTACGAATTATGACACCCGGCTGCATATTTCACAAGAGCACATCTGTGTAGCCACCGAGTGAGTGGCTTCTAGGATGGATCAATGGGAATCCAGTAATTTTTTTGTCATGTCACGTGACCTTTCGCGTGCTTTAAGATTCAAGCAAGATGGTTGAAAATATTTTGTCACGCAATTTTCTGTACAATAACATCGCCGATTTCTTCTGAAAATTTTCATTCCGAAGTTAGATCAAATATAAGCAATTGTGAAGATTTCACTACCTGGTTGAAAGAATTTGAAATAAATACAAACGCATGTTGGATACTCCGCAAAAGTATCCCTGTGAAATATTATTTAATAAGTGGTAAATAAAATGAAGAAAGAAATATGTAATAAATATCTGAGCCCAAATGCTATCTTTATATAAAAGTATGCATGTGAAAAAAATATTTACACCAATTATGTATGTAAAGAGAAGTCAGCACTTTTTATTGCAGTCTGTATGAAAAAGATGTTCTATAAAAAGAGCCAATGCAGAATTTTATTCAGAGTGAACTTTACTAATTCGCATTCGTATTCATTGTGTTCAATTTCACATTTAATAACTGCTCACTATTAAATGTACTGTTTACACAAGAAATACTCATCAAACAGAATGAATTTATCTTATTCACAACGAATATATTCAATTTATTCACATATATCTTTTAATATTAACAATGGATATAATTAGACCAAACACAATATGTATTGTGAATCATACACTTTAAGAACCAAAAGAATGCAAGCACTGAAATAAGAAAACACTACATTCATTGTAACACTTAAAGCTCAATTAAAAATATACATATATACACTTGATTATCTTAATCCACATGTGTTAGTAAATGCATAATATTCGAGGCTAATTATAACTATAAGGATAAACTGCACTGCGCTAAATGACAGACACATGACACTGTAGCTTGAGTCATTTTTTTGATGTAAAAAGCGATAATATGGCGTTAAACATCAATCCAAATATTAATGAGTGATAAAAATCGTGAAAGTGAGATGTCAGTGATTAATTAAACTCACAAAAACGAAAGAACTACGAGATTTTCTGCTATTACGTCATACATTTATAACTGCGAAACAAATGCAAATTAAAACGTAAACTTACTCTCACATGCATGAAGATTTAGCGTTACAAGAGCGATAGAAGCTCATTGATCTATTTTCGAAACCCCTCCCTCAGTGGCTACGCTGATGTGCACTTGTGAAATATGCCACCCGTCCTTGTAACGTTATTCAACATTCAATCAATATTTGCAAAACTTTTTGTTTGAAAGGTTTCCTTATTTGCATTTACATCGAAGGAAAAACAGGCTTTGAGAAATTTTCACAAAATTCCTAGGGCTTGGTTTTATCCAAGCTGCAAAAATATTAAACTTTCTTGGCTGTCGGTGAAAACTCTGTATTTCTGCAACAGTCATTACATAGTTAAATTCCTCCTGTTTTCAAAATTCCAGTTAGTTAACACTGAAGCTCTTAACCAAGTCAAATAGCACGTCTTCTACATAAAAGTATCCAATAGTACTATCTTCTCTAATGGAAAAGTTTTTACTTTGTCTAATGATAGCTGCTTCATAGTTTTCACGGCGAAATAAGATAAGCTTAATGTTTACCGCAGATGATAATATAAAACTCATATGTTTCCATTGGCTAAATTGCTCTTTTCTTTCACAAATTCATTGAAGACTTCTTTGATTAGGATGCATTCATGTTATTTTATATTTATTTTCTAACTGTCTGCAGTGAAAGAAAGGTAAATGTTTACGACATGCATCCATTACTGAGATGAGATCTCTTTGAATAATTCCATCCTCATGTTGAAGCGAAATCTGAATGCTTGTGAAGATAGAAGTATTTAATATAATTTTAATTTTTGTAATATTTCTCTGAAGGCGGTTTACCCCATAATGTCATTCACAAGGCTGTTTATCCTCTAACTTCTCACTCATACATACTAATTTCACATTTGTATTTAGAAATATTTATACATTGATAAACATTTAAGTTACCTTACTAATCCATAT